AATTTTTAGGTGGAAGGTGTAAAATGGAAAAGATTTCCGACATTAAATAAAATACTGAGGGGGCACAGGAGGGGAGAATTAACAGTTTTAACAGGACCCACTGGTAGTGGAAAGACTACTTTTGTTAGTGAATATTCACTTGATTTGGCAATGCAGGGTGTAAGTAAATACTCAAATTATGAAATTAAAAGTAGAGGTTCCCATATGATAAAGATTAACAATGAATAAATGAACTAATGTCTAATGGCAATAAATTTCTTCTAAGTTTAGGTCAATACTTTGTGGGGAAGTTTTGAAATAAGGAATTCACGACTAGCTCGGATAATGCTACAGCAATTTTCAGGAGTCCCTCTTGAAAATCACTTGGAAATGTTTGAATCATTTGCTGATTCCTTTGAGAAGTTACCAATTTACTACATGACTTTTCATGGTCAGCAGTCTCTTAAAGTTGTTATGGAGGTAACATTTTAATTTTATGCTAATCATAATTAAGTAATTTTGTATTTACTCTTAACTTCTTTACCTAATTATGATTTAGTACAAATTAAGTAAAGCATTTTCTTTGCTTTCTTGGATTAAGTGTTTTGACTAAATAATTATTGTAACATGAGTATTATAATTTTCTTATTTTTTTTTTTCTATTTGTAAGGCAGTGGAGCATGCACAATACGTTCATGATATAGCTCACGTAATTATAGACAACCTTCAGTTTATGATGGGTATGACTGAAGATCAGAGGAACATGGACCGTTTTTGGAAGCAGGATGCCATTATAGCTTCATTTCGTACATTTGCAACGAGAAAAAATTGTCATGTGACATTGATTATCCACCCTAGGAAAGAAAGGGACGATGATGACCTGACGACCAATTCTATTTTTGGAGGTGCTAAGGCGTCCCAAGAAGCGGATAATGTACTTATTATACAAGACAAAAGACTTGTCTCGATGCGTGGAAAAAAGTATTTACAGGTATAATAAAAGTTAATACATGTATATATTATTTTGATAATTATTTGTCAATCAGAAAAGCTATTGAAATTGATCATTAACTACTATTTATTGTAAAAAGTAGTCAGCTATTATAGTTAATTTCGTGTGAAAGAAACCAGGCAGAGGACTAATCGATCGAAGAAAAAAGGAAACAGCAATAGCATATATATAATTAAGTAAACTAGACATTATTCGATATGTTTACATGATAATTTATATGCTAATTGATAATCTATACAAAATCATTTTTTAAATATTTAAAATAGGTAATATCCATTTAAAAGTAATTCGCGCTTTTATTTTTAAATATTGTGTCTATGGGATTTATTAGTACATGCCTATGATATATAATTATGAAGCCATTTTTTGTTAATCATTCTGTTACACATCTCACATAGGCGTAGGTTAGTTTTTATGTTGAGGTTATTTTAATATTATTAAAGTGATATTCACGTTACGAAAAACATTTATTTAGTAATTATACGTAATTTTACTAACTATAAGCAATTTTAACTTTATTGTTCATCAATTCCCC